TATACCCAAAGGATAGAGAAATTGTTTTCTTGGTGTGCGTTTGTACGTGAAGAGACTGTATAAAAACCGAACTGGACAAGAATGGACGAACGAAAATGAGATCGTTGGGACAAATAAAAGTGTGGAAAGTTGTACGGTTCTAATTTAACATGGATAATCTAGTCATTTTGTCAAACTTGTCTTATCTCTGTTCCACCTATTTTGATGGAACATAAAAGTGGGAAATTGACTCAAATGACCATATTCTACAGCCAAATTAACCTTCTAGCCATTTTTCTTTGAACTTTACCCAAAAGTCACTAGATTCGCAATACGTAATTGCCACCAACTAAACGCCAAAAAATCAACATTTTTGGGTCAGGTCCACAACTATTACGGATCCGGATCAGAACCTATTTTCCTACGAAGGTGGACATTTACGGATATGATATTACAGATTCAAGGGAATTGGGTTTTGGGTTGGATCCGTAATAATTACAGACCTGTGGTTATTGACCTAGACCAAAAACTCTAAAATTTTGTCCTTTAGTGGGTCTGCAATAATTGCGGACCTAGTGACTTTTTGATAAAGTCTGGAGAGAAATTGTTAGGTAGTCAATTTGGTTGTAGAATATAATCATTTGGGTCAATTTCCCCAAAAAAGTACATTCATATTATGTCCCATCCGGTCTTAGTGTTGCCCCAAATATAAAAACAACAGTTTTTTCCCTGTCATGTCCTATTATACCGAACACTTGAAAACCTTTAGGTTAGACCATCCGTTCAATTATATATAAAACATTTGACAAAAACTCTTAAAAACCATTTTTTATACGTAAAGTACTGTTTATTGATGCACTAGAAGCGTACTCGTGCAATGCAGCGAGATACATCGTGATTTTAATATTTCATTTTATTCTTTATCTCAATCGATGTTATAATACGACTTTATGTGATTTTGAGAAAATCGATGATGTTTTTATTTTTGAATAAAATATATGTTTGAAGATATCAATAAAATTTGACAAAAATATATCGATATTAGTATCAAATTAACTATTTAAAATTCCTCATTTTTTTGTGTAATTT